CCCCAAAACCCCAAAACCCCAAAACCCCATTGAAGTAAAATGTTTACAAAAGTATGAATATAAGAAATAAATTAATTAGGAATGATTTAAAACAATGAATTCTTGAAGAGCAATTGTGTTACTTCTCACAGTGCAAACACTGTGCGATAATCTATGTAGAGTATTAGATCGGGTAACTCAGGTCAACTGCCCTCTAAGACCAGCCATATGCCTTCGCAAAGCATCACTGACTCCAGTGTATTTGAATAGTCCTAACAAACTAAGTAAGTAGCGTTATCGGGATAGAGTATCGATACAAGCAGGCAGAGCTTAGGTAGAAAGTAAAGTTCTAGGTAGTCTTTAAAATCTCTAATGAAAAATACTAAACAGGTCTAACCTGTTCTTTTCCAAGCAAAGTAGCCAATTACTAATCTATAAACAAGGTAAAATGATTCTCACAAGAGCTTAAAGATTTATAAACCTCAATCCAATCCTTAATTCACTTCCATGCGATAAGAAACAAACCATTCATCACCATTACAAAAACAAAACTCAATTTCTAAGTATATACATAATAATCAGTAAAGTGGTAGTAGCAGTAAGTCTAAGAGTAAGTCTCCGATGCTCAAAAGCGGATAAATATTTGAATTCACATAGGAGTCAATCCATGACTAACAGATCAATCAAGCAAATATATAGATAAACTCTTCTGTAAAGATGAAATCCTTATAAGAATATTCTGAGAATGGAAGAATTATACAGAACAGAAGGTTTAGTTAGAATAATATTTAATAGAGACCCTAATAGGACATTAGCTGTAGAGACTAAGTTACTAGTAATTCAATCTTAAGTGAGTCTGAAAATGAAATAGTCAACGATACCTTGAGGGATTCAATATTGAACTAAAGCCAAGATTAATAAAACTCTAATAGATTAATAATATAAGAGCCCAGGATACAAGCTTCATAAATGCATTATACACTGCCTTCTAATTATCAGTAGTCCGAGCCAAATCCTTATGATAGATTCGAGATGACAAGCAGACAGCTATTCAATGAGCTTAACTAGATAGGCTCTCAATAAAAGTTAGAAGAGTTACTTTATGATGAGCTTGGATCAGAATAAATAATGTATGCTTTCTAGAGTAGCAAATAGAACCCTCTTAATGAAAGTGGTTTGCTTGGCCAAAGCTCGTACTCCAATGAGACCCCATAGTTTATGAGTTTAATCTAAAATAATGCTAGACCTCAAAATTTGTAGCATATATCTAATAGTCTGGCCGTAACATCAATGGTACATCAGCCTTAAAATTAAATCACTGAATTTTAACAGAGTAATTTTAGCAAAAACATTACCAATACTGGGAAGACTCTACAAAAACCTACTGATGTAATGGAGACTCCAGAAAGGATACCTATTAAAGACAAATTCGATAAAACACTATAATTAGAAAAATCTGTTTCACCACAGAGGAACTAAATATAAGTCCTTAACTATAGAGTTAAGAATGACGATTGTCTAGATAGTAATTAAATATCACCATAGAAAACTAATTAATATTTATTGCAAAATCAAGTCTTTATAGATAATACGCTCTTGAATGAACTTGATTAAAGGAAAATTATTCAGTATTAAGAATGTCATTTTGATTCATCAATGGGATCTAGCAATGACTAGTAGTCACGATAGATTTAGATATTGCAACAGATGCTGTTGAAAAACAAATTGAGAAGAGAGATAAAGTAAGTACTGCAGGTGGAACATAATAGAAATTCCTCCTTGAATACCCTCACTGAGATCATTATTAACAAGCTTTCAGAGTTGGCAGAAGATGATGATACCTAGATTTGATATTGTCTACAATGATATTATTGGCTAAGTAATATACTTATCAGATTTGATATTATCGAATCATTATTGGCCTTGTGGGGTTTTGGGGTTTTGGGG